CCTGCTGAATGTGTTAACCGAGTTCTGCTGACTCACTGAGGCAGGAGGCTTGCAGGTAAGTGAAAAGCGAGTTGGGTATACTAGTTTCTGTCTGGAACATGACTAGGAAGACTTCATGACCATTGATGATGGAAAGAAATTTTTTTTCAGCATCCTTGATCAACAAATGATATGCAAAGAACTTTGAAGACACAACAGTCTTAGAAGCCTACCTGTTCTTCACACCTTCATTCCCCTCAATTTCCATTTGCCCAGTGTCTTTATTTTCCCAGAATAGAATATTAGTTAAAATTATGTGTCACCTACCAATCTTGACGATATTAATACAGAAATTAACCAATAATTATCGTTTAACCAACTGGAGAAGAAAGGGTAGAAAAAAAATGCATATGTCTCTGCAGCAGAACTCATTATCTTGAAAGTTAATCCAAGCTAGTAGTAATAAGTACACAGTAATCCATTTAAAAAAATATATCTTTGTAGCAAGCCCTGTAAAAGGCAAGCCTTGAGTAACACACAAATACACGTATTTCATATGCTGAAGTTACAGAAGAGTTCTCACTGCTCATAGTAAAGGCAGACACATAAAAGCTGAAAAGTAGCTTTTGCAGAAAGCCACATACTTTTCCATACAACAAAAATACAGAAATAGATCCTAAAACAGTACTTAATACATTTGGGGGGGGAGGAAGCACAGCAGTGTTATTAGGTTCACTGTGTATATCAGTATTACCTCATACAGCAGACAGCCCAGGGACCAGATGTCAGATTTGAAGTTGTAACCATTTTCGTGTATTCTCTCTGGAGACATATAATAAGGTGTACCCACTGCAATAAATACACAAGTATTTTTGAATGAAAATTTCTGTTGTTATACAGTAGTAAAAGTACAGTTTTCCTGGATTAAAAACATTTTTCATCTTCTATATTTCTCATATAGTTTCATTTCATTCTGGTGAGTTGTTTGATAACAATACACTAATTAGATATGTTTAATCCAATGCAGCTTTATTTTCACTACTGATATCTAATTACCAGAATCATTCAGTTGTAGAATACTTCCAATTTTGGCTATTAAAGAAGCTCAAAGTAGTTACTTTCTTCTGAAGAGAACCAAGGGATCATACGACACGCACACAAGCGTACCCCCACTCCTTTCCAAACTGTTATCACTGGGGCTAGAAATAACAGCTAGAAATTCTCTTCCATGGCTTGAACGATTTTATTTTTTAATGAGTTGTCTGTTCTTCCTTTTGAGAATATACAGATCTGAAAAAGCTGCTTTTAAAAGTAATAAACACATTTTAGTTTGAATATCTGAAACTGAAATTGAGCCTGAAATCCAGGATCTTCAGCTTTCCAGAGAGGAAGGCAGGAAAACCTGTGAGCCCAGCAGAAGCCGGGGTTCCTATGAGCGGCTCAGCCATCTGCTGCAGGACTAGACTCTCTGAAGGCTTTTCAGCTCCCAAATCTGTGCCTATCCTAGCTTAATCCTGCCTCAGAGTTGTGGGCTCTGGGGACGTCTGCTCTCGAAAAGCAGCATTTACTAGGACTGTCCCGGAGCAAATTTACATTGGATACTCCAGGACATCTCTCTCCTCGATTTTAATCAGTCCCTACTAATCCGTGTCACGAGTTCCTTAGAAGAGAGAAATTCCGAGACATGTTTCAGCTCCATTAAAAAAAGCTATTAAAAAAAAAAATTTAAAGTATCATCTGAGTGACGGGTTTGTATGTGACAGATAAACAAAAAAAGAAGTTACGAAAAATAACAGTAGCGGCAATTTTGGTGCATTGTCTCCAAACTTTCTCCCTATATTACGCCCAAAATAACTGCCTAACAGCAAAAAGAGTCACGGATCTATGCAGATTTTTACTTCAATTCTGTGTGGAATATTTTCTTAAGCACTGAATCCTGATGACGAAAATCAGCTGAATTCTGTCAATTCAATACCAGTTGACCTTATTTTGAAACTAAACATCTTGCAACACAGCCAGAGATTAAAATCAGCGCTCTCACTGCAAGCTCTAATTGTCAGAGTATGAACCTCCCACTATTTGATTTAAAACAACAATCTTGTATCACTTCTGCACTTCTGAATTAGCCCCATCTACTCAGAATTCATCTCTGTATGACTCCTGGAAACAGAGATCCAGTGGATACGTAAGTAATTCCAAATTTCAATAATCAGGTTAATAGCTTTAATTAATCTAATTAATAATTTTAGTCTAATAATTTCCAAAAGTTATGGGATTTGCTTTGACAGTGTGCCCTACCTTCTAGAAAGGCTGACACCTCAAACTATGTCCTACTTTCTCAGGGAAGAACGGGGCGGGGAGAGGTACATTGATACCTGAAAGGCCCAGCACGGACTGGGAAAACCAGAAGCACCTTATCCCAGGTCAGACCACTACTGCTGGCAACCCATAATTACAACTGATCTCCTTCTTGGCAAACAATGTTGAAAACAAGATTCCAAACCAATATAAACTGAGAATGTGCTTCCCTAGCAGGTATGCAAGGACAAAGGTCCCATACCGCATCCTACAATGGATCTGGCACCCTAAATATGCTGGGGGAGACTTCCAGCCCTGGGAAAGCCCCTCAGCCCCACTCCAACTCACAATGACGGAGTACTGTGACAGTCATTTACTCTCATGGGATGTTTGTATTCACCCACAACACAGGAATGGTCAATAGGGATCCCTGCGAAAGAACAGACACGCAGATGGGTAGACCACAACACCAAAACAGTCACCAGAACATCCAGAAGCAACTCTGTTATTCTAACATATCAAAAGTAATACTTTAATCAGTGCTTAATGACAGCTATCTTAAAATTGGAAACTGTAATTAAACATTTGTCATGAGACAGCTTTCATATTTTTATTATCCTTACTGCTGTACTTCCCCCTAGATTTTTTTATTTTTTTTTTTTTAACTCCAAGGACTTGTGAGCTTGGACACCTCTGAAAACTTCTAGCTGTATTTTGCATCCATTATTTAATGCACTGGTTTAGTATATTCCGATGCCTTGTTAGCAGAATTCATCTAACAACAAAAAAATAAATTGAATAGTAATGTGGTTCTTAGCTGGTTACAGCAGCACTGCCTTTGCTGCTCTGAGCCATCACGCAAATAGCTGGCAGTGAGTAATGTGCCAGAAAGAGGCTTCGCAGAACCCGCAGGGGGCAGCTGAAAACACAGAGGTTTGAAGGTTCACAGTTTACCAAAAGCAAAGGTAATTTTAACTGGTAGCTCTGGGAAACCTGCTGATACATCAGGGGTCTGATACGACTGTGAAAGATTGATGACAGGGAAAAGGAAGAACAAATGCTATCCTTGTACAGCGTTTAGCCTAGTGTAACACCTTAACTGCAACACAGCCTGAAGCCCCTGATGACCAACAAGTGAAAGGCATTGAAATTACAGTTCTGTTAGTCACTGAATCACAAAAACAACCTGAAGATCTAGACATCATTACTACTTGCAAACTGTTTTTAACAGAACGTGGCACAAAAGATGCATTATGATGACATTCAGGAACTACTGGAGGCATTGCAATGATTATTTAAAATGGTGAGCAATCCCGGTATGTGGCACTGTACTGCTGGCAAGTGAACACCAGATGTGATTATACATTCTGTTTCCTTCCTGGGTCATTATTTTTCCTGTTAAGTGAAGTACAGCATCACACTACTATAAAGACACGTGACTTTCTTTACTCAGCTGAAGCCACAGAAGTGGGATAACACAAGACAAAGACATCACACATTAAGGTGCCCATGTCTTCAAGAAAAAAAATCTGTAACTTTAGCATTCTGTTTGCTGCATTTGCACATTTCGGATAACCTGCAGGTCTGAACAGTAATCTCCTTGAAAATAGCCTGGGTCAAATAAACTGCTTCCTCAGAATCTGCTGCTGCTCTGGAGTCCCTCCCTGCAGATCCAGAAAGCATTCTTTATGCAAGCTTGCTGCTATCGAGAGAGGCAACGGACAGAATGGAAATGGTGGTTATGAGGGGGCAGGAAGCTGGATCTGAAGGATCAGAGGCAGAGAAACTATGACGAAGAAGGAAGTTATGATATAAACAGTCCATCTTACTACCTGCACAAACACAACTCACATTGCAGCTGAGTTAAAGAGGAGAGTGTGTTCACTTGAAAACCAACAATTTCATGCAGCTCCTCCATGCATAACCAGCTCCAAATCCTATCAAGGATTTTTAAAATGGGAGAAAAATCTGCCTGGTAAATGTTAATACTACTTACACAAAACAATGTAACAGCTGATTCAGAAGGTGAAAAGGCCATAAAATTATTACTGACATTCCACGAATTGGAATACAGGACTACCCAAGTTCAGAAAAGGGGCTAAAAACTTCAACTCTCCTGATTTTCAAAGAATTCCAAAACAAGACTTCAGTTAAAAAAAAAAGGCTCGCTTTAAGTGATTAAAAGATAAGGTTCATGAATGACTTCATGTCCCTTCACAGGAATTTTATAATGCAGAGTTAAACACAACATGCAAGTGTTTACCAAGATGAACGGTTGATGCTGAAGACAGACAAGCAAAGTTACAAATAAGTTGCAGTTACGGAACAGTGATGGTTACCAACCACTGACAGGACAAGTTCTCCATAATTTTTTTCTTTTTATTTATTTTAATATAGGTGTAGGAGATTTCTAAGTCACAGGCTCATCTTCAACCACAGATACAAGACCTAAAATGCTGCACTTGCCCAAGGTAATGCTGCAACCCAGCGAGCATTATGCAAATAGTCTAACTGCAGAAATCAATCTATAAATATCTTATTTTACAATGTAGCATTGTAACAGCACACTAATCTTCAGCTTTCAAACAACTGTAAGAGATCTCAGGTTTGTGTACATAAAAGAGCTGTTTTAATACAGTTTCGTTGACGGCTGTGATGAATCAGATGCAGATTTCCCTGCCAGCCTTCCTGTACGCCGAGGATGCAGGTTCTCAGAAGGGTTTGGTTGAGAGTATGAAAGTGGGGCTTATTCTACTCACAGCAAAACAGTGCTGCGTGCTGCCAGCCCAGCGCTGGCTTTGACACCCTCTGCTGGAGTAGAGATCCCTATGTACGAGGAAAGGAGAGTATCTGCACACAGTTTTACAAGGTATTTTATTCTCCACAACCTCCACGAGTTTACAGATTCCTCGTATCAGATCTGTGCTGAGGACATGAGTACCATGGAAATGACAAAAGTTGTCAAATCACAGAAGAAACACCAAAACTCAATAGAGTTCAATGATCCTTTGCTTTCAAGCATTTTAAGAAGATAGCAGATCTGCTCCTTTGCCCTGCAACAAGGTATTCACATCACAGCAGCAGTGTCTGCCTAGACAGGGTACTGTGCAGCCCTCCAGTACAACCACACTGGAGAAATCAAGTTTGGTTGGGTTTTTTGGGGTTTTGGGGGGGGACTGGAGAAATCAAGTTTGGTTGGGTTTTTGGGGGTTTTGGGGCGGGTTTTTTTGGTTTTTTGGGGTGTTTTTTTTTTGGTTTGTTTTTTTTTTGTAATTGAAATATGAACTATCCACTGAATGGCTAACAAAGATTTTAAAATGTACATTTCCATGTGCTGGCCTCAGAATGACCATTTTATCAAAGAGGATAAGACCTGGTGTTCAGCCATTAAGAAAAGAAAACCAACAAAACAAAAACCGTAACATACACACACAAACACACAGTCCTAGGGAAAGGAATAGGAAGCGTTTCTTTGATCATCTTCCCCTTTCTAACGTAAAGTCTTCTGAAACCAAGAAATTTTGTCAAGTTTGTATCAAATCAGCAACACCAAGTGCCTCCCTTTCCTTTGCATTTCTGAAAGAAAGATTTTCTCTTTCCAAAAAAGTATATACATGCCACAACAGAAAATTCTACTGTCTTGGCTGTACAGAAAGAGTTAAGAACATTAACAAACTCTGTCCACTGTAGTATTTTCATTTGTTTCAAGTGGACCATGCGCAAATATTCTAATTAAATCAGTATTATTCATAATTAGCAGTTAGAAGCTGTAGCTAATGAAAATTTTAGTACGTTTCTTTATCTCTGAAAGCCTGAATCTAGTCTGCCACTGAAATTTTTATAAAGCCTGTAAACAAGTATAAATTGCTACACATGTGTTTGTAATTCACTGGGTTTCATGCACCAAAGGTTCATGGAATCATAAAAAGATACAACTTTGAAAGAAATTCCAGGAAAACCAGGATCAGAAACTGCATGAGAAATTGATTTTTAAAAGTGTTCTCTGCTAGTGACGTGACAAATCGGAGTGTCACTGTCTCCACTGCAGCCTAAGATAACAGCTGAATAAAACCTTTTTCCTAGTCTGAGTTCTGACATTAGGGCATAATTAAGAGGGAAATGGGAGAAGAGATGGGGGGGGAACAAACAAAAACCTAACAGCTCCCCTACCAAGACGCAGCACCCAACACTAGAAACAAAGCTTCCATCTCCTTACCCCTGCTCTCTAGATGACTCTCGTATTTGTAAGAGATGACCTCTAAAGGGCTTGATGTTTTTACACTGTTTTTAACTCTAGCTCAGTCTTCAGACCCTTTGCAACCATCCCCCTCGAACGAGCCAAAATAACCCAGGGCTGAAGCATTTTGTTCCTCTTTAACTTCTTGACTTCTGTCCCAGAGCACAAGTCTAACTCTCCCACCCTCACACCTGACTCCTGCCTTCTTCACGGGCTCCTACTCATAGATGAGGATGTACAGCTTCCTGCAAATGCAGCCCAGGAACAGCTCCTTCTTCACACTGCTCCTTTACATCCTTCTTCCATTCGCAGGCAGTACCAGGACCCAACCGTAACAACTCAAATCTCCACAGGGCTGCCACAGCCAGCCCCTGGGCTATGGTGGCAGCATGAACAGCAGCACTTTATATAATACACTGTGCCATGAAATGGTATCAGACCTTTAGGGTTGTACCTGAACTCGGAGGTGGAACCCAAGCACATTTCCAGTCTGCTTCTCTGTCTCTTTCTCTCTTTGTTATTAACGCAAGATTGCACATCTGTGTCTGAGTTTCACCTCAGCCCTATTAAGATCTCAGCAGTTACTCATGATTTTGACCATACCAGCATCAGTATGCACAAAACATGATAAAAAACACAAAAGCACAAAAAAAGTGACCAAAGTGGTCTGAAAGACAGGAAAGAAAGGATCATATCAAAAATGTCCTTTCTAAAATAGGTTTATTTGGCTGTTAACACAAATATTGCCCCACCTCAAATGTGGTACAAACACGCTGAATATCAATCCTCTTTTTCCACACTGTACTGATAACTGGGACTATCTGAATAAAGTCAAATTAAGAGGTGAGGATAAATATGGCATATTGGAATCAAAGTAGTCTGATATTTCATAGTCTAATTAGAAACAACAGCATCTGAGCAAACACAATTCCTTGTGTGTCCTCCCATGGCCCTAAAACAGGGATTGTAGGTATTACTTAACCATTCTTGGCTGTCTTACGTATTACCTTCTTTATCACGTACTTTTGTCAAACAGAAAAATATCCAAATGCCTAATTACAGAGTTGTCACTGTCATTTGTTAAAAACCCTCACTGAGCAGCATTTGAATGGATTTTACCTATCTGTATTCAAGTATCAGCGAGGTGCTCTGTCTGCCTCAATACCTTTTACGAGGTGCAGGAGACAATTCTGGATGCTGCAATCAATGGCCCTGCTCTTGAGGGGTCGAAAAGTTCATTTCACACCCTTGGCAGTCAGTGAACAGGCTTGATTCAGCAACCACTAAACACAGCCACTTCAGCAGGGAAAAAGAATTTTTTTTTCTTAACTAAAAAAACCTACATAGCCGTACTATAAACACTAATTCTTACATTTCTCTTTAAAGCAGGTGCTACTCTATTTACAAGGCTTTTCTCTTTTAAAGAGAGCCTCTTCAATTCTTTCATTTGTCCATTCCCTAGATTTAAAACTTAAAATACCTGCCAAATTTTTCCTTTTTCTTCTTTAAGGGCTTCTTAACCATCCTAGCCTCCACATGCTACACAAAGATCCAAGTTACACAAAAATTTTGCTTGGAAAATGATAAAATGTTATTTTTTACGTGTTATCAAACAATAAATTAGGCATTTCAGAATTTTTTTCTATTCTCATAAAAATAAGTTATCTGGGGTTTGTTTTTATTGTTTGTTTGGCCGGGGAGGTTGTTTATTTTCTTTTTAAAGTCTTTATGGTTCATAAAGCCTAATTCTGATCTCTCCTCAACTTACTTTAACTTATATAAACTCCACCTTCAAACAGGGAAGCTCCTCTGTTAGCCCTTTCAAAGCATATCACCAACATATTGTCAATGCTACCCATAGGGGCTCACAGAATTACCAGATTCTTTCCAACAATTATTCAAGTTCAAATGAATTTGTACAAAATGCATCCGTATTCTTGATCTTATTTTTCCCCACCATTTCTAGAAAACACTACTGTCAGGAAGACCTGTTTTGAGCCAGGAAGGTACATTAAATGGGGAGAAGGGGGGACAGAGGACCGAGCTGTACTGCTGAAAGGGACACCTCAGTGTTACAGCTCTTCTGTATTTGTCCATGGTGCTGACCATTTTTTTTTATTATTTAAGAAAAGCATTAGCCTGACCTAACCCTCTCCTTCCTCCTCAAGCAGGCACACTATTTCCACCATGTAAATAAATCTACCTCCCCAACATCTGTATCTCAGAGAAAGTTTACCTAAAGAATGTGCAGCTGTGGTTTTGGAGCTGAAAAATCGACCAAGTCCAAGGTCTCCGAGCTTTACTACCCCTGTAGCTGTGATGAACACATTAGCTGGTTTTATATCTGAAAAAAAAGAATTGAAAAATTTTGAAGTCACAATGAGGTTGCAAGAGAAGCTACTACTCTATTAATAATAGACTGAAAGAGGTTTTAATATGAACAAAATTTGACTGTGCTATTCAGAAAGAGCGAGTTTGGGATTCTGAATTTCAAATTAACTATTTAAAAGTACAAATATCGCTCAAGCAAGAAAACTAAGAGCCATGGCAAGTATTTTAGAAAACAAGCCAGACCCAAAACAGAAACCCCCCACACACAAAAAAGCATATACAGGGAGCTCATTACTACTTTATAGGCACTATATAAAAGGACTTCCATTAGAACTAGAAAACCTCTCATTATATCTCAAGTGGGGTGTTGGTGGATGAGAAGCTGAACATGAGCCGGCAGTGTGCGCTGGCAGCCCAGAAAGCCAACTGTGTCCTGGGAGCATCAAAAGCAGCATTAGCAGCAGGCTGAGGGAGGTGATCCTCCCCCTCTAGTCTGCTCTCGTGAGACCCCACCTACAGTGCTGCATCCAGCTCTGGGGCCCCCGACATGAGAAGGGCGGTTGGAGCAAGTCACAAAGATGGGCCGAGGCTGGAGCATCTCCCATACAAGGACAGGCTGAGAGAGTTGGGGTTGTTCAGCCTGGAGAAGAGAAGGCTACAGGGAGACCTTAGAGCAGCTTCCAGTGCTGAAAGGGGGCTACAGGAGAGATGGGGAAACACTCTTGATTGGGGGGTGCAGTGAGAAGATAAGGGGTAACAGCTTCAAGCTGAAAGAGGGCAGATTTAGATGAGATTTTAGGAAGAAGTTTTTTCCTGTGCGGGTGGTGAGGCAGTGGCCCAGGTTGCCCAGAGAAGCTGTGGATGCCCCATCCCTGGAGGGGTTCAAGGCCAGGCTGGATGAGGCTTTGGGCAACCTGGGCTGGTGGGAGGTGTCCCTGCCCACGGCAGGGGGTGGCACTGGATGATCTCTAAGGTCCTTTCCAACCCAAACCATTCTATCATCCTATGAAGTAACATACCAAAAATGTTTTCAAGAACTGTAAAACATTTTTTTTTATCACTTTTGCTGATCAAATTACCCACAGTGGCATGATGTTACTTATTTGAAATAGGTAACTGATTCTCTTTAATAGGAGGCATTAAAAAAAAAGGCAAGTTTTACTCAGGAGAATGCTTATTTGAACTCTTCAGTGGAATTGGTCTAATCAAGTAGAAACAAAGAAAAATAATGATGTATACCCCAGACAGTTGTTTTTCACAAGTAATATTCCGTTTAGGTTTTAATCTCTCCTTTAGAGACAACAGCAAAGATTTTTATTATTTTTTTAACAAGGTACCTATCCTATTAGTCTTCTAAATAAACTGACCTGATATTTGTTTGGCAAGTGTGCTTAACCCTTACTCAGTTCAAGAGCAATACGCTGTGGCTCTAAACTTAAATAACTTAATTTTGATAAGAGGGGATTACAGTTTGCATAAGATATGGGTACAGTAAAAGGAACAGTTAATAACCCTTCAAACACCAGCATTTTTCAGGTTTCCATTGAAAAGTTACACAACCTTATAAGCTTTAGAGAGGAATACAGAAGCAATTACGTTATGCTGCTGTCTGACCTCGTTTTCAGGAGTTTGGATCACTGTTTGTGAAACAATCCAACACAGATATCAGCTCAACTTAAAAATAGATCTCCTCGTCATTGGTTTTGGTGTGTAACCATGGAATTGTTAGGTTTGCCATAGGCTTGCCAGAAGCTTTGAAGGCCATATTTCAGTTGAAAGAATTTAAGCTCATTTTAGTTTTGAGCTAAAATAAACTAGCTGTAAAGGTTTATTTTAGCTCACTATAGCCTATGGAAAGAATTTGTAATTTTATGTCCTCCTTTTTGTATAATTTGCACTTTACAAGATACCTTTACAAATGCATTAAGAAAAAAAAAGATAACAACAAAGGAAAGTCATTTGCGAGGGCAAAGACATGTAAGTTGACCTGCTGAAGGGTGCAACATCTCTAGCTGCAAATCACAAAGCTCAGAGATGGACAGACTTTTGCTTTCAGGCAGCTATTTTCATCCCAGCTGAAGGAAGCCACCAACGTAAGACATGTAATTTCACCTGAACCCAGAGGGAGAGCCCATATACAACTTGCAACTCGTAGCCAGAGGAATTCCAAGGCAAAAAAAATATTGTACATCTGAGAAGCAGCTCTACTACGATCTGTTTCCTTTGACTCAGAGTTATAAGCTAAAATGAAGACAGCATACGGAAGAGACAGCAGTACAGAAGCTTAAAATGGGTAAAAGAGATTTAGTCCCTGACAGGGATAGCTGGCAACTACAAGGGCTGTTGGGACCCAGTACCTGACACAGAGATTGGAAACAGCAGAGAGGAGCAGAGAAGGGGAGAAAACGCTCACGGCTGCACGTAATCCAGTAGATAAGGGAGTGGGAGAAGGACCTATAGGTCATCAAAAGGCATGGCAGGAGGCAAATACTTTTGTAAGAAAACAGGGTACAAGGGGTAAAAAGGATGGATGGATAGCTGTGCAAGAGTGCAGGTAACAATACTTGGGAGACACAACGGGCAAATACAGAAGAATAAGAACAGGATAAGAAAATAAGAGCTAGCAAAATCAACTGAGCAAGCATAGAGGTAGCACTGGCAGGGTCTCCATCACTTAGAACTATCACTTGTTTTGAGAAGTCAGTATCACGAGCCATTGCTCCAAACAAATATTTACCAAAAAATATACAACCACAAACTTGTGTCACACTTTTCCATTACTTACAAAACATTACAGAAACATACATTATGTCAGCTGGAACAATTGATTCCATTATGACTTCATTTGGTGTTTTTTGCACTGAACCAGCTTAATTCTCACATAGTAAAAGGTTTAGTAAAGACAGATCATCTTTGATCCTGTATTACCTCTATGCATAACACGACGAGAATGCATATGTTCCAAAGCACTGCAAAGCTGAACAAAGTACTTCCAAACTGTTCTTTCAGGAATCAACCTCTTCTGTTTCTTAAAATGCTTAAAGAAAAAAGGATGGACACTGAATATTAAAATTCAAAACTTGCATAAAATGACTGAAAAAAAGACAAGAGAAAATCCTTCATTTAAAAACTAAATACAAGAAGCTCATAACCTAATGAGAAAGATTTAAAAAAAATTTCTTGACACAGAAAGCTTTTCCCCTAAATATTAATACACATATCATCAACGTATGTTTTAGTCAGTCAACCCAGAGCCACAAATGACATGAATGAAATAAAACTGCCATCCCAAAAAAGTATTTACATGGTGTTCAGCAACCCTCAGTGCAGGATTAATGTGGTCAGAATAACGTGGCCACCAAATAAAAAAAGGTCAGCTATAAAGCTATGTGCCACAGAATTTCCCAACAAAACACTTCCCTATACCGATATTGATTTCCATATACTCATCTCCTAACAGGAAGAAAACAATAATACTGACACACAATCACAAACAAAAACCATGTAGGAAAAAAATCAATGAGATTAGTCTTAGAAACTTCTGCAGTATATAAAAGGGGACTAAAGGAACTGATTTCTGAAACTTTCATAATGACCTAGCCCCTGTTCAAGTATTTTCTACCCTGTATGAACAACCGTGACACTTGGTAACAGTTCAATGGCCTGTTAAAACTGACGTGAAACATAACTGTGTTCTGCTACACACATCTTCAGGTCTTACATTCAGGGACTGGAATAACACAGTCCTCCAAAAATATGTACTGAAAACCTGGAATTCAGCCCATGCTAAAACACACAAGTCTGATCATTAGAAATTTTGCGGCTAAAGGTAAGAAGACTGAAAAATTGTTGCTCCTTTAGTCTCTCTTCTTAAAGAATTTGTATTTTGACAGACATTAAACACACAAAGAAAACTGATTTACAACATGAATAGTTGCAAAATTTTAGATGGAAAGCAAAGTACTTCGACATATTTTAACAGCATGTGTATGCATACACACCCCGTGCTCCTGCACGCCCTAAGAAAGTTCATATAGCAAACATTTATTATGCTGGAAAAACAACAATATTTCTATGTATTATGTTAAAATACACCACTGTAGTTGACATCTGCATCTACACAGACACTTGCAAAAGTATGAGAAAGATGCTTTTAAACTAGCTAAAGCAAAATGTAGTCATATAAAGGATCATAACGTTTCACCAAAAATATTTTTAGTTCTAGGGATTATTAAGAAATGTATTCTCATTTAAATGAGGCAAAGCATATAAATTACTTCTTTAAATATAATTTTCTCTCAGTCTTGGACTGAATCCAAACAAACCCTGTGTATCTGTTCTCCCCATAGCTGGATTTGCATATCAGAGGATTGTTTGATGTCAACAGGAAGATGGATTTGTTTAAAAACAAATACACAATACATGTAAGTATGTGCACATGAAAGCATGCTTCCTTGATTTCAAATGCATTCTGAAATTATCATAATTATAACTAGGTACTTTATTTAAACATTCTGAATTATTATTTTTTTAACTCAGATTTAAGCACAAGCAGGGATGAAACACCATTCACAACATATCTGAAATGGGAAGATTTTCCATTACAGATTTCCATTCCAATGTATTTAAAGTACATCAGTGTACTTTAAAAGCATTTATGGACAAGTATTCTTTTAACATTTTATTCATTTGCCAACTACAGAGCTGGAGTTGTTTGTACACTACAAAATTGGCTTCAGTTCTCACAGTGCAAGCACGCAGGAGAAGTTTTTAAGACATACTCATTCTACTGAAGGCATTAATAATTCTGCATTATAACAACTTCTTTTCCTGAAAGCACCAATAATATTATTAACCCTGTAGAATTTATCCATCTAAAGAGGATGCAAAAAAGAGCTGCTAGATTTGCTAACAATGTTTTAACTACACAAAGAAATAGGCACCATTTTTGCTTGCATAGGTTTAAAAATAATCCAATCTATTTAAAATAAACTCACTGAATATTATTTTCTGTAGGAATTAATTACATTATCTTCTTCCTTTGAAATACGTATTCTCAATGTTCTCTTGGGCTGTTGTACACCAATAGCCAAAATAGTGATAAGACGACTTCACTACCAAAAAAAAGACTGATTTTGCAAAACGAGCTATTGAAAGCAGTTGTATGTTTCCAGGAAACAGTCCAGCAGGCAGTGTGAATTCTGAGAAAAGTCAATCAGGAAAAGTAATCTCATTCCTGTTTAGAACCTTACCTTTCTAACGAGAAATATAAGTTGATGGAAAACATGGCCAAAGTTATTTTATGCCAAACAGTATAATTAAATTCATACAGCAGACATTAACTGTAATCAAAGTAAGATCCTTTTCTCTCTCCTCCAATTTCACATAGTTCACAACGCAAAATGCAGTTCTAACGGTTGGGGGTTTTGCCCCTTTCTTATGGGGAAGCCAAAATGCAGAAGATGTGATGCTAAAAGAAGAATTTTTAGTCTCTATTGTGGCAGAGAGCACCACAGTCAATATTGACACAAATTAATTGCCTAGTGCTGTAATGTCTCAAGCATCCTAAGGTCCACATCATCAACTTGACTTAAAACAGTTCTCTCCTGTTGTATACAAGCTGCCACCTGCCCAAACTTGACCTCAAAGGAATATAGCCTGACATACAGCTTTCTGAAGTACTTTCATCTTTTCAACCTTTTACTACTTTGCTTCTTCCACCTGTCTGAGGCTCAAAGGACAGTCCTGATGCCCCTCAGACCACTGACCTTCTAGAGGGTGACATTAAAAAAACCCCATAATTCTCTTTGAGGTGAAGGATCAGTCTCAATACAGTTGAAATGAGGCAAAAAGGGAACTGCTTGTGCACGTGCATTAAAAATTTGGGCAGTGTTGCAAGCTAGTGTTTTATCAGGTAAACAGAGAATACTAGGCGTGCTCTGGCAGCAGGCTGTCTCTCAGCAAGAATTGTTTCAAAAACCATATCCCATGAAATTTCCATCTCTGCCTTTGAGAATGGAATCACAAAAAGCTACTTTGAAGAGTTTTCACAATGTCAGTACAAATATAAATGACTGAATTGCAGTTTATGCAACTGGAAATTTTGGGGGTTACAAAATTTGCTATTCAAATGCCTTAAAGAGCTTTGAAGTACACAGGTTGTATCACCAGTTCATCTTTTCGTCCCTTTTTACAGAATGACTGAGCAGTTTCATTATGGGAAAATGGAACTCTCCTGGTTTTCTCTAATGAATTGCTAAAAGAAAAGTTAATTATTCTCCAAATGTTTCCATTCTAGTAGAGTTAAATATAGCCGCCCTGCACCTAAACAGCATGTGCCATTCAGTTTCTTGAAGGCATTAAAAAAAAAAAAA